GTTAATTCTTCTTAGTATACTTGTAAAAGGTTTTGTGATTTTGTTTTTTATGAAAAAGTCTTTGTCCTATAGTATTATTAGGAGCATGGTGTGATTATTACCCATAATATCTTCCATATTTTAATTATCAAATCAGAGTAATAGATAACTTGTTAGACTATAAGAGATCCAAATATAGTCTATTCTACTATTACTTGTTAGATTTCTTCTTTTTGAAGTTTTTTCTTTATCTTCCTATATAGTTTATATATTTATAAAGTTCCATTTATCAAAAAAGTTGAATAATGGGATTTCATATTATCACAATGATTTCAGCTTGCTTTGAGAAGAACTTTCTATTTTCTGATGGATTATAGGTTATATCAAAATCTCATATTACTATTATATAAAAGTCTTGTTTATGTTTTCTTTTAATAAAACTGTATATTTTGTTCTGTACCATTTTATATCTTGGTTTGTTTGAAGGAATATAGATCTGTATAATACAAATCTTTTTTTTTTTTTAAGCATATTGGTGACATAATATATTTTTCTTCTTTTTCTACTGATATAATCTTTTTTTTCAGATCTCATCTGATTAAGAGACTGACTCCTACCTCAAATGATATATTTTTATTGATGCTATGAAAGTGTTTGTAGTTTTTCTGATTGTTGAAAACCCATTGTGCATTAATTTGTATCAATTTTGTTTTACATAATCCCAGTATTCATATTTCTTGTTCCAATATTTTTTAATTAGGTTTTGTTGCTTTATTTTATTAGTAATTTCTCTAATATTGCATGTATCTATTCTGATTTCCTTTTTATCTATCTTATCCTCTTTTTTGATTTTTTCTATTAGTCTATTTCTACTATTGTTAAAAATTTTTTTCCATTATTTTTGTAGAAATGTTATGATATTTATATTTCTCTTCTCTTCTATCCTGTTACTACTTTTTAAAGTTTATTTGTTGCCAATATTTGTGATTTTTGATAAGAAAGTAATGGGCTATTGCTTCTCTTGATTGCTATTAAGAACTGATATACTTTTAGAAGTGGTTTGCTTCCTTATTATCAATTCTTTATTTTTTAAAGACTGTGTTTCTCTAGGATATCTATTCTAGTATGTAATCTTTTTATATTATCTAGAATACTCATTAAAGGATTTCTATTTCAGGTTTTGTATTAACTTCAAAAAATCTATTTCTATAGTTTTGTTAATTTCTATTGGTTTTCTATTGTATCTTGTTGCAGAATATTCTTCTCGGATATTTTTTTCATATCTTATTTATTATTGCTTCATTGTCTAATCTGTCTCAAATTCTTGAATCTATAATAACTTGTTGAAATAGAAATAGATTTTGTTAATTTATTATCTAATTGTGAGTCAAGTGTTGATTCATTGTCTATTTCTATGTTTCTGGACCTGAAGCTTGTATTTCTATTTTCACCTTTAGAATTCTGTCTTTCTGTTTTGAATATGTATTTGATACTTTATAAGAGGTGATGTTTTTGCAAAAAAATATATTGTTTACATGGTTTGCTTCTTTTTTCTTTTGTCTTAAAGCAAATTACTATAAAGTTATGTTTCTTGAGTATATAAGAATCTTTAGGTATATAACATGCCTTAGTTTGTGTACCATTCAATGCTCTAGTTATTAGACTGGTATAGGTTTTATTAGCATTTAAGAGTTTTGCTAAGTCGTTATTTCTTTCAATTAATATTTGATTGATTTCATTATTGCTAAGCTCAGACTTAGAAAATATAGCTTTTATTATTTCTGTACTGATTGGGTTATCCAAATTACTTTAGAATTTAGGCTAAGATATTTATGCTATTTGATATAGGTTTTTATTTGTGATTTTGTATTCACCTTATAGATATGAATGTTTTAGACTTCTTTATATATTTTTAGATATGCTTTTATAAGATTCTTATTATTTTTCTAATCCACGTCTATTAAACATATATACTGGATAGTAGTATCTTCTTTGATTTTAGATTCTTGAAAGACTTTTCTATCTAGGTTTCTTTTTGTTTTTTGTTTCTTGTAAATAGTCAAGGATATTATATTTTGGATAGTAAAGTTGTCTTCATTTTAGATAACTTTTTTAATACATCTTATAACATCTTTTTCCTCTTGTATGCAAAAAACTAGCCACTTATTTCTATTTATAAATTCTTTTAACAACAGGTTTTTTTCTTCTTATGGAAGTTTAAGAATGTTCCTTAGATATATCTAAGTTTCATTTTCTGTTTCTCCTAGAATATTGACTGTCACTGTATTTAATTTATAAGTTTTTTTCTTTTTTATAAAATAAAGATTCATTGGTAGTATTATGTCTCTATTTTTAATAGTATAGAAGCTATATTCACTAATATATTATATTTTTTATTATTTTTTGGAGTTTTTGCGATTTCAATTTTTCTATTTTCTATATGCATATTATTGTTACTTCATTGTCTATTATTGATTCATTATCTATTTGTTCAATGATCTCTATTAATTATTGTTCTGATTTATGTTGACTTTTAGGATTCTTGATAATTTCTATAAGCTTATCTTCAATATAGGGTTGTAGAAGATCTTCTTTAATCCCTTTATTTTGTTACCAAAGATATGTAATATGTTAAGTTAGAATTTGTTCCTTGTGGAAGGTTGTCATATTGATTCCTAATATTTTAGTTATGATACCATTTAGAATAGTATATGTTTCTGATGATAAGGCTATTGGTCTGCATGATTTATTATTTCTTTGTTTTAGCAGTTGTTGTGAGATCCATAGATAAGATTGTTCATCATATTTTAGTGAGAGATTAATTAAAATGTTTACTATATCCTCTTCTCTTTTACTGACTATCTGTAATATACTATATATTGTACTCTATTAATGTTTACTACTGGTTTAGATTTAATGATAAATCATATAATTACTTATATGTTTATTAATATTTTTTTTTAGGTCATAGATAAATCTTTCTGAAGTTATTATTGTTTATATTTTTCATTATGTAATACAGAAAAACTTAAAATAATGATTGAGTGAAAACAGATATCAAGAATATATAAATGTGACAAGATAAAAAAATCAATATACTTATGGAATCAAAAGGTAAGATCAAGTATATAGAAAGTCCAATTATTAAAAAACTGATATATGAAAAGAAAAGAATTAAAGACAAAAAGTTGAAAAAAATTTTATTAAATAGTATTAAGTATAATAAGAAGTAATTAGATTTTGATCACTGTTAAAACTCAAATAAGTGATCTGCAATAGTGACCTGCAGACAATGATATTAGAAGTCGAAAGTGTCTTTATTTAAATTACTAATAAAGCAATAAATCATTTCCGAAGTATTTAGAGAGGTAGTATAACTTAAACAAGTGAGTTAGTTAGAAAATTAGTTTTAACACTTCATTTTATATATATAATTTATAAATATTTAATAAAACACATATAACCAATCTGATAGAGGATTAAAAAAAAAAAATAATATTTTAATAAAATATTTTTTATTGAAAAGAGATTTGAAAAAATAGCTTTTTGAAAAAATCTAAAAAATTTTGTTTTTTTTTTTGTTTTTTTATAGTACATTATACTGTATATTTTTTATATTTTTTATATATATTTTTTTTCAATTCTTATCTTTCATAGTTTTTTATATTTTATGATTTAATAAAATATATAATAATAATAATACATTAATATCAATGTATAGAGTTTTTACTCAAAATCTATTATAATTATAATATAAAATATTATTTTTAAGGTGAAACTTAGGCTATTATTATTTATGATAAATTACTTAAATTGCTTTATAAAAGTTTAACTACAATATATAGTATGTTATACTATTCGAATAATAATATATTTATATTCTTTATTAATTGATAAATTATGATCTAACTTGATTATAAGTATTATAAATATATATATATTTATTTATTATCCAATAAAAATTTTTTAAAAAATAAAACTTATTAATAATTATATTTTCATACATTTAATTTTTGAATATTTTATTTGTTTTATTATAAAATTAAAGAGATAAATGTTTAATGAAGAAAAAAAATTTTTTTAAATATTTTTATTGTTGAAAACTCTTGTTTTATTTTTATTATTTCAATTTAAAAATCAAAATTCAAGTTAAATAGAAGACTAAAAAAAAATTCTTTGAATTGAATAAATAATATTTTATAATGGATTTATAAAGTATTTTAAATAAAAATATATAATAACTTTCTTAATTATAGTATATAAAACTTTAAATAAATGTTGTTTTAAAAAGATAGAGTAATTAATAAAAAGAATATTAAACATTAACCTTCATTTTTATTTTAAAGATATATATTTTGATTTAAAAAAATATTTTTTATTTTTTTAACTTAAATTATATAACAATTGATAAAAATTCTTTGATAATAATAAAATTTTGAAAAAACGTAAACGTTAAAAAAATATAGATATTAAATAATATTTACGTAAAATTTTATAACGTTTGAATAAGTAGTTACGAACTTAAAAATAGTTAAAGTTGAAATTAATAATAAAAACAAATAAATGAATTCAATCCAAACTTGAACAAGTCACTATACATTTTTTTAAAAGTATATCAAAATTATTTATTTTAGCATTTTATAGTTTTATATTAAAATTTAGGTTTAACTATTATGCTAATTGATTTTTTAAATAATTATGAATCGTTCTAATAAAAGTATTGTATTTCATAAGACACAAATTTTAAAATTTAAATATTTTTACGTGTTGCGATTAATTCATTCCAAAAACAGATTTTTATTCCCGTGCTTATAATATATTAAATCATCGAAGTTTTTAAATAATTATTTAATTATACCATTATAAGTTCCATTTTAAATTAATATCCTGCGGCGTATCCAAGCTTCCTAAAATCACTAGCGGCTAATCGATTTATTGAAAAAGACCATTTCATAGAAAAATGTGATAAGTAAAATAAGGATTAGCCTATTGTTAAAAAAAAAAAATAATAATAAGATTACCGTGTATAGTTCCATTCTCAAACTTCCTGGCAGCCTGTACCATACACGCAAACCTTCTATCCTTAACATTTGCTATTTGTATCTTGATAACGGAAAGAATAAAGAATGAGAGATTAGTAAATAGAGTAGCACATCGCAATTAACAAAGGTGAGTAAAACTTACGACATGTCCAATGTCTAACAAGTCATTCAGTAGTTCGTATGAAAATCCAGATTCCATAAATGCCTATACACATGAATAGAACAATAATTATATTTAAAAGAAGGTATGCATAAAATCTAACAAGATCAGAATGAATGACTTCTTACAATTTCTGGCTTCAATTGCTGGTGAACCCTGGATTTTTGGATAGCTTGCAATACATTCATATCAAAATCAAATATGTTCAATATCACCTAGAGAATAGAAATTTTTAAAAACGAGTAATAAAATTAAGCAATTAGAACAACATTTTTTTATAGATTACGTACTTCTAACACGGCAGAAAGTATTTTGGTTCCACCACTACCACCGAGTGTCAATTCAAGTTTACCATCTTTCTCAATTATTGTTGGTACCGTTGATGATAATGGTTTCTTTCCTGGTACTAAAGCAAATAAAGGATCTCATTATTTTTATTAATAAATATTAATCGATGTGTCTTCTCTAAAAATATACCGATAAAATTATGTGGCGAAGGAAGCATTCCATAAAAGTCGGGTACACCAGGTGTCGAAAAATCATCCAGTTGGTCGTTAAGTATTATTCCCGTGTCAGGATCCATTACATTTGAACCCCAAATTCGATTTATCTACTTGAAAAAAATCACATTACATTAATAAGAATGTACTAAACAATTCATTTATAATGTGATATTACAAAAAAAAAGACGAGATTATGGAGTTTCGGCAACTCACCGTCGACGTAAAGGCAACTGCCATGTCATCTTTGCCAATAGTGGAAAGATGCGTTGTTCCATGGTCATTTATCTCCGCGTAGACCGGATTGTAATAATCCGCCTTGTGTGTTTTGTCCTATATATATTGATGCGAAAATAGGTATCACCACCTTATTCAAAAAAAAGGGTCAGTATACCAAACTAAAAAATGTAAGTTACTTACGTCCGTTATATTCTTTCTTACCATACTTGCATATTTCTTGGAGATTATTTCTAAGACACGTTGTTCATGTTCAGTTTTGTTTTCAAACTTTTATAACATTATATTAGGTAATCAGTGATAATTATACGCGTTATATAATCAAGACTTAAGACTTACAAACTTTGCATCCCCCAATTCGGTGCGTCGCGCAAAACCGACTAATTTCATTAAACGAAATTAATACACATTTACTGTTCATTTATTTTGGATAAATTAAAAAAGTCTCCTACATTTGAGCGTTTCGATAAGCCTGAAATTAGGAAAATAAGGTAACTATTGTATGTCGTCCGAAATTCATCTTTTTATAATGAGGAGATACTGTAGTTACCTATGTAAATTGGTGCCGGTGAGACCATTCTTATTCAACTCATATCCCTCCAATATGTTCAGCATGAATATTAGTATGGCGCCACTCGCAGGTTCCGGCACTGTTATTATCTAAGGAAATTGTAAATGCATGTCAGCACATTGGTTTCGCAAAGTCTTCAATAAATTACACATTACCTTTCTCCCGTGATAATAGCCAACGACGGGTTCACGTAACACGGGACGGTAATTAGCGAGGTCCTCTAGTGTCATTATGCCTCCAGAGGCCTTAATCGTTTTTATCAACGATCTTGCGATAGAACCCTATATATACGGAAATAAAAAAACTTGGACAGTCGCCTAAATTTCAGTAACCGTAGAAATCACTTACGTTATAAAAGTCTGTATAATCATTTGCGATTTTCTCCAAAGTTATGGAATAATTCGTTCGGTATAAAATTTGTCCTTCTTTTAGCAACTCTCCATTAGGCGCGTATGTGGCCGCAAGTTGAGGATTGTTCATTATCACATCCCGGTAAAGCTACAATAAATTTGGAAGATACGGTTGGTTGAAAAAATCTTCGAAATGATTATTTGTAAAAATGAGAAAAAATATTATTATTTAATTACTTCCAAACGAACGCCCAATTCAGGGGGGACAGGAAATCCGTTACGACTAATGTTGATTGATGGCTCGAGAAGTCGTTTCCATGGTAACTTCCCGTATCTAATAAACAATGGTAAGGATATATAATCATACAATAATATCCTTGTACTGAAGAAATTATTTCTCACTTTTCATGCGCGAGTCTCATTCCAGCTACCTCCCCACTATAAGAAATGCATCAAATCAATAAGTTTGCTTTAATATACTTTCAGTCTAACACAATACTTACGGAATGCCAATGGTCAGTCCATTATTCTTGTTATTGCCAGCCAACATATCCTTTGTGGCTGCGCCTGGCGCAGTCTCTCGAAAATCTATCACTTCCGAAGTCCCATTTGGTAGCCTGACTAGTATGAATCCCCCGCTAAAATTTTCATTGTAATAAATAATTATAATAAAATATTTACGACAACGCCTAAAATGTTTTTTGAACTTACCCGCCGATTCCTGCCGAAAAAGCATTGATCGTGCCAACGCAAATCATACTCGCAATCGCTGCGTCAACGGCATTTCCCTCCTCCCTCAAAACTATCAAAGTTTAATTTAATTTACGTTTTTGGTTAGAAAGAAAGGACAATCAAACATATTACCATCGACTCCAAATTGCGAACAAATAATTTGTTCGGAAGCGACAGCTCCATTATACGCAACGATCAAACCAGGATCTACGATCACATCGCTTGATTCTAGGGAATACAACGCAGTTGTGTATAGAAAAACCCCTCGCATATATCAATAATATCAAGATTGAAAACTTATTGACCACACCTTTATACATTATGAATCCTAACAGAGTGGTCAAAATCATAAAAATAACTCCCGCCAAAATCCATCGTAAACCTCTCAATTTAAATAAAAATATCTTCAAAATCTTTTTAACACTGCCATCATTCTCTTCAGGCAGTCCATCCTCTAACGATTGATACAAATGCCGATTAGCCATATATAGAATCAAGGGTGACCGAAAGATTCTGAAATATCCGTATACATACGCATGGGCCTGAACATTAAGCTTATATATGTGTTTTCCAAGGGCCGATTGTTGCCGGGTTGAATTACACAAGAATTGCGATATTTGAGCTGTTAATGTTGCAATATCTCTTCAAATAGCATGTTATCGAATTATATGAGGATAAGGCAGGTCGCTCTAATTTAGAAAGTGCGAAAAAATGTGTGATTCATTCTTATATGATCTCGGAAATTAATCACAGCCCCATACGATGCATACGTAGAACCCATCGCTTGCACGAAACTTAATTGGAAATCTTCGAAACGATCAAAAATCATCAGAATCGGTTCGAAACTTCACCAATCTTTCGATATTCTCATCCTACGATAACATAATAAGTTGACATAACGCTTTTGGCGGAATATTCTTTAATTTATAAAATAATTTAGACTCGTATCAAATCATTTAAACAGATACAGAACATAGAACACTAACATTTCAAATTTATTAATAAATAATATTAAAGAATTTCATACATATACAGTAAATAAATACTAATTTATACATAGCGTATGCAAAGTAAGGTATGATGATTATAAATCAATTTAATTTTTACCAAATACAGTATATACATGCAATGTTTTTTTTTCTAATCCTTAATCAATACTCATTTACAGTATACAGTATAACAAGTAAGTGCCAAATTTTTTCATCTTGGGTTAATATATTATAAAATTAAAGTAATTTTATTTAATTCCATAAATTTGAAAATTGTCATGATCTATATTTTTTTAAAAAATTATTATTAAATAATAAAATGATATTAAAAATTATTATTTAAAATAGTTTATCAAAAAAATTTTAAATATAAAGTATTCCAAAGTACCATACTAATAAAATACTTTCAAGTATTTGGTTGTTATTACAAGATTCTAGAAATAAATTTTCAAAATACTTCAATAACAAAAAAAAAAAAAAAAAAAAGCTTTAAAGTATTTTGTATATACAATGTATTATATAAAAATTTTCAAATTTATTTAAAAAAATAATATAGTTTAAAAATATATTACATATATAATAAAATAAAATATATTGTTATAAAATTTTTTATATTTTTATTATCATATATATTTATACATAAAATATTATATTATAATATTGAAGTACTTAAAGTATTTTATGATATTTCAATATTATATTTTTAAAAATGTTATTTAAAAAATATAAAAATATATTTTAAATTTTTTATTTTAATATATATTTTTTTAAAATCTTATCATTTTTTATTGAAGTTTTTAAATATAAATCTAAAATATTTTATAATTATCTATTAAACAATTAAAAAAAAAATATTAAATATATAACAATGATCTATAAATAATGATATTAAAGTCAAAAAAAATTTTTATTTTAACCATTAATAAAAAAATAAATTATTTTTGAAATTATATTTTAAATAATAATAATTAAGATAAGGGAATTAGTTAAAATTTAATTTTCATATCATATTTTATATATTTAATTTACAAATATTTAATGGAATATGTATAATTGATTTAATAAAAGGTTTAAAAAATTAAAAAATTTTATTGATAATTAATATATATTATTTAAAATTTTTATAAAATATATTTTAATTATTTTAGTAAGATTTTATTTATAAATTTATTAATTTAAATTAATTTTATATTCTAATTTAAAATATATAAATATAATTGAAATATATATGTATATTTATTTAACTTGTAATTATACTATAATAACTTGTCTTTTCAGTAAAATTCCTTTAACTAGGTGTAGTTGCTAGAAGATATTGAGAGTTATACAACAAGACTGAAAAGTCACATAAGAACCTGGGATCTATAATTAGCTATTTTGTTTTATGCAAATAGATACAAAATCAAGATCAAAAGGAAGAAAGCATTGAACAAGATACTGGATCTGAGTAGATGATAAGTACCTCAAAGGATCACAAAAAAATAATCAAGAGCACAAATGGATAAGTTCCTCAGACCGTCAGAAAGAAGAAGAATATCGCAAAAGGGTTGACTTCTAATGAGAAAAAGTTTCTAGCAGAGGTCCTTTAGAGGATATGAAGCAATTTTAAATTTCTTTTTTTTTTCATTTTCATATAGTGCATTTGCACATTTTTATTTATCCTCCTTTCCTTTTATTTTTTCCTTTTCTCTTTTGTAGTTTCTCAAATTCAGTTCCTTGAAGGATAATAAGTAGTAAAAACCTGCTGGCAATAATGGATAAGTTAAAAGGGTCTTCACCCAAAATTTAGTTCAGAGTAAAATATTATTTTCAAGGTTACATTTAGAGGCTGAAGCTCTTTTGAGAATCGAAAGCCATTGACAAATGTGTCAATACAAATCTTTTAGTTTAGCCATAATGCAATTGTCCTATGTATCTCAATTAGTTTTCTTAATAATTAATAAACACACAGTAGTGACCTAATCATGAGTTAAAATAAATAAATAAATAAATAAATAAATAATAATTTGTCTTTAATAAGAAATTAAAATAAAATCTACAATATTTTACAAACTTTTATAAAGAAACTAACTTATTTTTATATATAAGTACTCTAAGTCAAATTTTAAAAACAATATTATACTTCTCCAATAAATTAATAATAATCTCTATCTATTATGTTCATTACCAATAGTTTATCACTGTTAATTGATTTAAAAATCAATGAATTGCTAAATTAAAGAGAATAATGAAAAAATCAATTAAATAAAAGAAACAATTAAAGACCTATCAAAAAAATTCAAAAATAAAAAAAACCTCTTTTCAAAAGAGATTAATATAATTTAAATAGTCTTTTTGTTTCACTTAAATCTTAGAAAAAAAATTTTTTTTCATTACTTATAACATCGAACAAATTAATATAACTATTCCTTTATTTAAGCAAGTATAAAATTGAAATATCTCAAGAAAAGCATTTAGACTTTACCTTTTTTCTATTAAAGCTTTATTACTATCTAAGGAACTTAAATAAAAAACAAAAATTTGCAATTTATATTATTTATCACTTGGTCCTTTGATATCATAGAAGTTTTTATTAAAAAACTTGTATTTTTTGAAAGCAAATATTTACAGAATATTCTTTTCAATTATTAATAACATTATTAGAACATATGAGTATAATCAATAGGAACTTATTTATATTTCAGAAACTAATGTATTTCATATTTATCAATTATCTTTGATGAGGATTTGTTTATTAGAAAGAAAACAAGCTTTTTTACTATAACAAACCTATGTAAACCTCTTATTGCAAAGGTTTAAAGGATCTTTAAGTACTTTACAATCAATTTTTAATTACTAGAAGTCAAGTTTTTGGGTAAAAAGGTTTGTAAACAATAGGGAAAAAGTAAAGATAACTTTTGAAGTCAAACTTTCAATTGTTTTATAGAAAGTATTAAGACTTTATTGGCAAAGAAATAAACAACTTCTTGAAAATATCTTTTTTGTATATAATCAAAGAATTGGTAAAAAGAGTTTATATATAAATATAATTGAAATATTAAATATTATAAATTTATTAAAATATATAAAAACTATAAAAACTCTTTTTACTGATTCCTTGATAATACACAAAAAGAATGTGCAAAAAGATTTATACTTTTATGTTAATAAAGTCTTATTGCTTTCTTAAAAAAAAACTTAAAAAATAACTTCAAAAGTTTTTCCTAACTTCCTGTTCTTGTTTATATTTTTTTTTAAACAAAAACTGAATTTTTAATAATCAAAAAAAGTTAAAAAACACTTTTTTTTACCTATGGCAAAAAGTTCTAAAATAAAGAAAAATTAAGTATGAAGTATTAAAAATCTATTTTTTGAAACAAAAATATAACTAAGGATTTTGTGTAGTAAATAAATGAACAAATATACATAAATCTAAGCATAAAAACTTTATTACTTATTGTTTTTATTTTCTTAAAATTACTTATTTTTTCAGAATTTTTGAAAAATTTTATTTACCTCAATTTGATTTTAAATTTTTAAGTAATACAAACTTGATATAGCTTTTGTTAAAAATTATTAATCAATATAAAACATATTGATAGTAGAATATAAACATGTTTTTGTTAATTACATTATATATTTCAATAATATTATTGATAATAGAAAAAGTTAATTAATATTCTATTAAAAAACTCTTTCCGCTGATCCTCTGCCCACACACAAAAAAAATGTTTACAAGAAATTTTTTATTTCTTTGCTAATAAAGTCTTAACACTATCCTTAAACCAACTTAAAGTTTTACTTT